TTTCAGTCTGAATACATGGCTTTTACAGAAATGAGTAGGGAAAAAAACTCTACCGAGAACTCCTTTTTGTCATTATCTGATCTCAACTAGCGAGTAAGGTACCAAACGGTTTTTAAATGACATGAGGGCATGAAAATTGCCAGAACACCCACACAACCACCGTCTCTCCTTTGGAATCTATATGCCCATCACTATACTTATTATTTCCAGGAAGGAATGAGGGAATTGGGGAGACAATTGTTACTAAAGAAGTGGACAGGAAATGGGAGAGTTTTTTTCTTTCTGAACAAATCCTTCACCTATAAAATAGGAGGTTTAGATTAAATTGTCTTTGATGTTTATTCCCTGTGTTTTAAAGGAAAAACTAACATATGTTCCTAAGCACCTGATATTATGTCATCTTACACAGTCTTAAAAACAACCTTGCAAAGTGCTATTATTATAGCCATTCTCTCAGTAAGGGAACTAAGTAAGATACAGAGAGAGGCTGAGTGCAGTGGCTCACACCTATAATCCCAGCACTTTGGGAGGCTGAGGCAGCAGGATCACTTGAGGTCAAGAGCTCAAGACCAGCCTGGCCAACATGCTGAAACCCTGTCTCTACCACAAAATACAAAAATTAGCCAGGTGTGTGTGGTGGTGCACGCCTGTAATCCCAGCTACTCAGGAGGCTGAGGCACAAGAACCGCCTGAGCCCAAGAGGTGGAAGTTGCCTTGAGCAAAGATCACGCCACTGCGCTCCAGCCTGAGTGACAGAGCAACACTCTCTCTCAAAAAAATAAAAACAAACAACAAAATACAGAGAGAAAATATTTATACAAGTCACACAGTAAATCAGTGGTAATGATAAGATTTGAGCCCAAGCTGGATGATTCCAGATCATGCAGTCAACAGCTTTGTTCTGCTTCCTATCAGGTAAAGTAGGTCTCCCAGAAGGTCCTGACACACAGAACATACAAAATGATGAGTGGCCCAAGATCTGGAAATGATCCAGGGTCTGTGAGCATCTGGCACTGGAACCAATCCAAAATCAATGTTTAAATAACAGTTACCTTCACCCCCAAATTGTCTCATTGACCGCTGAATTTGAATCAGGGATGTGGAGAATACTGCTCTGTGGTTTGCCATACAGTTTAAAAGTCACCATGCCAGTACCGACCACCCAATAAATACACGGAGAGAGAGATAACCTTAAATAAAAAAAATAAAAAAAATAAAAAAATAGAGTAAGCATTTGGAGTGTAGAAAACAGCTTGGTTGCATTTCTAGAGCACCAACCCCAGTAAAACCCAGAGGCTTCAGAATTCGATGAGATTTTTGCAAAGTGTGCTTTCACTACAAAAATGAATTAGATGCCCCGAAGAGCTTCCTCTGTTCTTTGCTTGGCCGAGCACTTCCTGCAAACTTCCCTAAGGGGTTTGTCCAATGGAGTAAGCCTGTAGGAGGAAAAATCAGGGCCCTGGGCTTTTTTTTTTTAAAGAAAAAAAAAGTAAAAGGTTAAAAACATAACCCCTCTCTTCATCCATCCTTAGAATTACACTTTCCAGTGAAGTCTAGTTCCCTTTCCTGGTAGATATAATCCTAATTAAAAATAAATTACATGCTGTATAGAACTTGAAATGGACAAGATAATCCTATTACATATGAGAATATATCCTGATTTTCTTTCCCGCTAAACTGTGGGAGATATTAGATCAGGCTGAGCCCCTCACTGTCGCCTCTTTGAAAACTTTCCTAGAGCCCTAATCCATCACGTGACGCCCGTGTCAATCTCGGTGTTTGCACGCGAGTTTCACAATGCCGGCATTAGGCTCGGTAACAGAAACCCAGCTTTGCTGAGCCCGCAATATTTGCATGCCGAGAAAACGCCGGCCATTGTGGAGCTGTGTTTGTTCTCAAGATTACGAGACAGTTGCCGGTGAAGTTGCTAAAACCGAAAGAAAGGGGCCCCTTTGAGCCTGCCCAGACCTTTTGTTATGATAACAACGCGATTCGAGCGGCTTTTGTGGGGCCGGACCAGCGCCGGGGCGGGCGAGCTCCCCTCCTTTTCCCCTACTCCTCTCCAGCGCCACCTCCCCGGACATATTTTCCTCCCCGGGGAGTTGCTGCGGACGTTGATGCGCTATTTAAAATCGTATTTCCATAATCGAGCGGCTGCCCGCTGCCGGCTCGGAGCTCACGGTGCTCGCGTGCCTTCACACCTCCACCGCCGGCACGGAAAGGCCTGTGCTGGCCAGCCGCGGCTGGAGACTCGCGGCTCCCGTCCCCGGCTCCGCGGCTCCCGGCTCTCAGCCTCCTGGCGCCGCCGCCGTCCTGGCTGCTTCCGAGCGACAAAGACCTGGCCGCGGACAAAACGCTGTGGACCTGCTACCAGCCGCCCTGCACCCCTCCTCCCGCCTCCTGGTTTTTGCCTGCCTCCACTCCCCTTTCCTTTTCCCACTTCCAAGCACGCCTTGGTTTATTTCAGCCTTGAGAATGAGCATGCTGACGCGGAAGCGCTTTGAGTAGGAATTGCAAGCAGTTCCCAATCTCTTTTTGTCCAAATCAAAAACCTAAACTTGGACGGCTCACGGCGGCGCTCCCAAGTCCAGCCCAGAACTGCAAGGTGCGGGGGCGCAGACTTGAGGTCCGGATCCCAGCCACTCGCGACCGGGCTGTGCTAGCGGGAACAGCTGAAACCCCTTCCTCTGGGACTCGGGCCCCATTGCCTTCCTACCACTTTCCCCACCTTCCGGGTCCTCCGCCCGGCAGGAGCCGCACCAAGCCGGGCTGACCTGCGGGGTTACGCCGGCGGAAGCGCCGAGGCCGCTGTCCACAAGCCAAGTTCTGAACCTGTTCCCGTTTGCGCCTCCAGGGGAAGAGGGATGAGGAGAGACGACGTTAGCCTAGAGACGCTAAAGGTCACCAGCCGGCCCCAGCCTGGGGTGGGAGTGTTGCGGGTCTCGGAAGGAAAATAGAAAATTCCTTCACCTGCGTATGACCGCCCCCCCCCCCCCCAAGGAATATCTCTTCGGCGGGGACAGGGGGAGGGCAAGATATTAAATGGCACTTGGGAGGTGGAATAAAGCCGAAGAAAGGGCTGCGATTTGGGCTCCTGTAGGGGGCGCTCCTCCTTCCAGGTCCCCGCGCGGCTGCAGATGCCTGGTCTTATTGCTTTTAGCATTCCCAAGGCTGCAAGGTGCAAGAGGAGACGGGAACCGAGAGACACACCGCTCTGAGGAAGCCTCCAGCCACACACCGTCCTCCTCCCCAGTCTCATAAGAGCTTTTATTTATGGATGGCTGGGGCTGAATTTTCTGCTCTCTGACAATTCCAAGCACCCCCTCATCCCCACCACCCAGCTCCCTGCTTGGTCACCCTACTCCAGGGAAACTACTGATCCTCTTATGAAAAGACCCCCAAAACACACTGCCTCGAGTTTGAAGGAAAGAAAAACATGGATAGGACGCTGACAGCAGGACTAAAATTGGCATTCTGAAGAATGTTTACTGAATGCAATCTGCTTACCAAACCCATCATTTAAAAAGAGAATTTTTTTCTAGTGAGTGGCTTTTGATTTTTACCTTTCCTCCGTCGTGTGTATTTGCATAATCTGCTCAATCAAGCCCTTCAGTAAGAATCATTAAGAATCCATCTTTTTCCAGATACCAGCTCCATCTCCCTGGCCTTCAGAGATGGGAAGGGGCTATCTGTGTGGCAGCGCAGCCCCCGGCCAGCCCCAGTATCCGCCCAGCCCAGAGTTTGGCAGTGCCAAAGCTCCACACTTTCCTAAGCAGATGGTTAAGTTCCCCCACGTTCGTGCCAGGTTTCAACGTCACGCTGTGATTTTGTTCTTCTGGAACCGGACGAGTGTTGTTTCCCAGAGTGGCCCTATTAGAACAGAAAGAAAATCCTCTAAATAGGCGGAACAAGGCGTCAGGAGGAAAAGGTTCTCTAAATGCACTTTAATACGAGCCGGGTATTGTGTGGAATTCAGCGCCCATCACCGTTTAGCCGGAGAGTTATGGCAGTGATTGGGGATGAATAGAGGAACATAATGGATACATGTGGCGTTTGCTCATTATATTCAAGTTAGCCCAACTCCGCTGTGGAAACTGTTCAACTTTCTCTCCCCTTAGCTTGTCACAGTGAAATAATACAGACATTGGGGCCTCCAATGGGATCGCCTGCCACACCATTCTATTTCCACTGCTAACGAGGGCTTCATAAGCCTTTGATACAGTCTGATCTTTGAAACCTTTCCAAATCTCCTCAAGCTTATGCTAAATCCTATTTGGAACTTTTTTTTTCCTTGCCTGCTAGCGCCCAAGGCTTAAGAAAGCCATTTGGACAGTGACATGCATACTAACATATCTCGGGCTCTTTTCCGAAACGGAAGTGGCAGCTCTGATCACTGGGGCTCACACGAGCAAAACACAATTGCGTAAACAAATTTGAATAAAATCAATTTTCCCTTATACTTCAGGCTTCTTAATCGAGAGGCTATTCCAAGCACCGTAGGAAACTAGGAGAGAAGGAAAGCAGAGCCTCACTCAGCAGAGCAAGTACGTGAGTAGGGGGCTGCAAGGCTTTGGAAGCCCCAGAGGTGCAAAATGCCGAATGTGTGTGTGGGCGGGGGCTGTGGGGAAGGGGGAATCTGGAGCCACTGGGGTGAAACCCCAGCGTGTTCGCACTTAGTTTTAGCAGCGGCACGGGGGTGGGGGGGGGGGCAGGCGACAATTAACAATCATCCGCTCCTTTTACTCCTGGAGCCCTGTGCCAACTCCTCTACATGTAGGGTGCCGACAAGAAAAGGGGGGGAAAGCAAAAGGAGTTAAAGAAACAAAAGAAAGATTTCCTAATTTTCCTTTCTTGTTTTCCCCTCTAAGCCTTTCCACGTTAAAGGGATTGTCAGAGGCAGGCGGAGAAGCGACGCGATGGGGAAGAGGCCATTGGCTGCCCGGCTCGGGTGATTAGCATATCAGCGGCTATAAAGGCAAAGGCTGCGCGAGGCGGCGGAGCTTCTGTGAGAAGGGAGGGAGAGTCGCAGGTTGAGGGCGGGTCCGCGCGTCCTCAGAGCCCGCCGGAGCCGCGGAGCTGCAACCCGCAGACTTCTCCCGCACAGGGCTCGCAAAGGGCGTGATTCCGAGAGCCTGAAACTCACGCCAGTACCTGAAAACCAGAGAAGACTCTTCCTTAGCCTTTCGGATAGCACTTGAGGCCGGAGGCATGAGTCCTGTGAGGCGTTGGGGCAGCCCTTGCCTTTTTCCCTTGCAGCTGTTCAGCCTCTGCTGGGTGCTCTCCGTGGCCCAGAGCAAAACAGTCCGATACAGCACCTTCGAGGAGGATGCCCCCGGCACGGTCATCGGGACCCTGGCCGAGGACCTGCATATGAAAGTATCGGGTGACACAAGCTTCCGCCTGATGAAGCAATTCAACAGCTCTCTGCTTCGGGTGCGCGAAGGCGACGGGCAGCTGACCGTCGGGGACGCAGGCCTGGACCGCGAGCGGCTGTGCGGTCAGGCCCCGCAGTGCGTGCTGGCCTTCGACGTGGTCAGCTTCTCACAGGAGCAGTTCCGCCTGGTGCACGTGGAAGTGGAGGTGAGGGATGTCAACGACCACGCGCCACGCTTCCCCCGGGCCCAGATCCCGGTGGAGGTGTCGGAGGGTGCGGCCGTAGGCACGCGCATCCCCCTGGAGGTGCCGGTGGACGAGGACGTGGGCGCCAACGGGCTGCAGAGCGTGCGCCTAGCCGAGCCTAACAGCCCCTTCCGCGTGGAGCTGCAGACGCGTGCGGACGGAGCTCAGTGCGCGGACCTGGTGCTGCTGCAAGAGCTGGACCGCGAGAGTCAGGCCGCCTATAGCCTGGAGCTGGTGGCCCAGGACGGCGGCCGCCCGCCGCGCTCCGCCACAGCTGCCCTAAGCGTGCGCGTCCTGGACGCCAATGACCACAGCCCGGCCTTCCCTCAGGGCGCCGTGGCCGAAGTGGAGCTGGCGGAGGACGCACCAGTGGGCTCCCTGCTTCTCGACCTGGACGCGACCGATCCCGACGAGGGCCCTAACGGCGACGTGGTGTTCGCTTTTGGCGCCCGCACCCCGCCGGAGGCGCGCCGCCTATTTCGGCTCGACCCGCGGTCGGGCCGCCTCACCCTAGCCGGGCCGGTGGACTACGAGCGTCAGGACACCTACGAGCTGGACGTGCGGGCGCAGGACCGCGGACCTGGGCCCCGCGCTGCCAACTGCAAGGTCATCGTGCGCATCCGCGACGTCAATGACAACGCGCCCGACATCGCCATCACCCCGCTGGCCGCCCCAGGCGCGCCGGCCGCCTCGCCCTTCGCAGCTGCCGTCGCCGCCGCTGCGCTCGGGGGAGCGGACGCTAGCTCGTCGGCGGGAGCCGGGACGCCAGAGGCTGGCGCCACCTCGCTGGTGCCGGAAGGGGCGGCGCGCGAGAGCCTGGTAGCTCTGGTCAGCACCTCGGACAGGGACTCGGGCGCCAACGGGCAAGTGCGCTGCGCCCTCTACGGGCACGAACACTTCCGGCTGCAGCCGGCCTACGCGGGCAGCTACTTGGTGGTAACCGCAGCGTCGCTGGACCGCGAGCACATCCCCGAGTACAACCTGACGTTGGTGGCCGAGGACCGCGGCGCTCCCCCGCTGCGCACCGTGAAGCCCTACACAGTGCGCGTAGGCGACGAGAACGACAACGCGCCGCTCTTCACGCGGCCAGTCTATGAGGTGTCGGTGCGCGAGAACAACCCGCCCGGCGCCTACCTGGCCACGGTGGCAGCCCGGGACCGGGACCTGGGCCGCAACGGCCAGGTCACCTACCGGCTGCTGGAGGCCGAGGTGGGCCGCGCTGGGGGCGCCGTATCCACTTATGTCTCGGTAGACCCTGCTACCGGAGCCATCTACGCGCTGCGCAGCTTCGACTATGAGACGCTGCGCCAACTCGACGTTCGCATCCAAGCTAGCGACGGTGGTTCCCCTCAGCTTTCCAGCAGCGCCCTAGTGCAGGTGCGCGTGCTGGACCAGAACGACCATGCGCCGGTCCTGGTGCACCCGGCGCCAGCCAATGGCTCCCTAGAAGTGGCAGTGCCTGGGCGCACCGTAAAGGACACGGCCGTGGCCCGTGTGCAGGCCCGGGATGCAGACGAGGGAGCCAACGGGGAGCTAGCCTTCGACCTGCAGCAGCAGGAGCCTCGCGAAGCCTTCGCCATCGGCCGCCGCACGGGGGAGATAGTGCTCACCAGCGACCTCTCGCAGGAGCCACCGGGCCGCGTGTTCAGGGCGCTCCTGGTCATATCCGACGGCGGCCGTCCCCCGCTCACCACCACCGCAACTGTCAGCTTCGTGGTAACAGCAGGGGGCGGGCGCGGGCCGGCTGCGCCTGCCAATGCCGGAAGCCACGAGCGTTCCCGCCCGCCTGGCTCTCGGCTCGGGGCGTCGGGGTCGGCGCTGCAATGGGACACGCCGCTGATTGTCATCATCGTGCTGGCCGGGAGCTGCACACTGCTGCTGGCCGCCATCATCGCCATCGCCACCACCTGCAACCGCCGCAAAAAGGAGGTGCGCAAAGGGGGGGCCCTCCGGGAAGAGCGGCCCGGGGCGGCGGGCGGCGGAGCCTCAGCTCCCGGCTCCCCGGAGGAGGCCGCCCGGGGAGCCGGGCCAAGGCCCAACATGTTCGACGTGCTCACCTTCCCTGGCAGCGGCAAAGCGCCCTTTGGCAGCCCCGCGGCGGACGCGCCTCCGCCTGCGGTCGCCGCGGCCGAAGTGCCGGGCTCAGAGGGCGGCAGCGCCACTGGGGAAAGCGCCTGTCACTTCGAGGGGCAGCAGCGGCTCCGCGGCGCGCACGCCGAGGTGAGGCCTTCCTTCGGCTGGGCGCCCCCCTCCGTGCTCCGCGGACAGGCTGGGGGAAGGGAGACTGGAGGGGTAGGGTGGGCGCGTGCAGATAGACACTTAACCTGTGGCACTTGTTTTTTCTTTTGTTTGTTTCTTGTCCAACCCTCTCCCCACTCCCATTCCCCTATTCCCTGCTGCAGCCCTTTGGTGCCTCCCCGGGTTTTGGAAAGGAGCCGGCGCCCGCTGTGGCTGTCTGGAAAGGACACTCATTCAACACCATCTCCGGCCGGGAAGCGGAGAAGTTCAGCGGCAAAGACAGCGGCAAAGGGGACAGTGATTTCAACGACAGCGATTCCGACATCAGCGGGGACGCTCTGAAAAAAGATCTCATCAACCACATGCAGAGTGGTGAGGACTCTTCTTTCCCGCCAAATTCAGCATTCGTCCCTTCCCTTGCCTTCACCACTGCTTGCCTCCCCTCAATCTCGATTTCCACCCACTTCCCTCTTCCCAACTTTTTCTCACTCCTCCAGTTGTGGATCTGAGCCTGCCTCATACAGTGAATTTCAAAATGCCAATTCGAGGCAACTCCAGCTCTTGAATAAAGTACACCCTCCTCCTGTTAGGCAGCAGCATGGGTGATATTAGCCATTAAAAATGGGGTTCTGCTTATCAGGTTTTTTTTTTTTTTTCACTTCAAGCTGAAGAAGCTGGACAAGCTTTGCATTAAGATGGCTTTACAGGAAGCAATGTGCCTTCGATTCTTGAGACATGGTGTCTATCTATATGCGTACAGGCTTTCCTTTCAGCTGCTCTTATCCAGGCTGACATTCTGAAGATGGAAGCCTGGGTGTGTATAATCTCAGGAATAATCATCATGCTGTTTCCTTTTCCCTTTCGTGTTAGGACTGTGGGCATGCACCGCTGAGTGTAAGATCCTGGGCCACTCTGATCGCTGCTGGAGCCCATCCTGCAACGGGCCCAACTCACATCCCTCACCTCACCCACCAGCCCAGATGTCAACCTTCTGTAAGAGCACGTCCCTGCCTCGGGATCCTCTGCGCAGGGACAATTACTACCAGGCCCAGCTGCCCAAGACAGTGGGGCTGCAGAGCGTCTATGAGAAAGTACTGCACAGAGACTATGACAGGACAGTCACTCTGCTCTCCCCTCCTCGTCCAGGAAGACTCCCAGACCTGCAGGAGATCGGGGTACCCCTCTACCAGTCCCCCCCTGGCAAGTACCTGTCCCCGAAGAAGGGAGCCAATGAAAATGTTTAATCCCATGCTGCATGTCTTCACGCATCTACAGGTCACTCCGAGAAGCCCCTAAGTTATTGACCGGTTTCAGTGTTGTATATATAAATATGCAAGATGTGCCTTAAAATGAAGTTGTTGGAAGCTATTTCCAATCACATTGGTACTGTTTGGTATTTGCAAACAAAAACGTAGTTAATGTAATTTTTATGAAATGTGTGCAGTATTTAATTTTTCTTATTATGCTATTGACTTTAATTTCACTTGCAGCTTGCCATTTTCTTAGTGTTTTTAACCTGTACATTGTGTAATGTAATGTTTGTATATAATGAAATTTTGTTATATTTTTATATAATAAAAGCTAAAGTGGAAGTTATTGCCAAAGGAACTGTCTGGAAGACAAAAAAACAAAACATGTTGGAATTAATTGAAGTTTATCTTTCACCTGAAACAACCTAGTGTTTGAGAGATTTTGCCTTGCCAAGTATAACTTGTATATCTTGACTCTGTGGTAGATTTCAAGTTCAATGTTATTTAATTACATTTGGTTTTCTGTAAACCGTGTCACTTATAAGCAGAGTAATAAAGGATTTGTCATGTGTTTGAAGAATCTGCTAATTGCTTTTCATGAAGTTGCCTATAGTCAGACATTCACAAATAATTTGAGTACCAGAATGAAACCTTCTTTCAAGTGCTAATTATTTGGGCATTATTAATTTTCATGACAATATTAAACCTGTGGGATTTCAAGTATTGCAAAATGTCACCAAGTATTAAAAATATGCGTTGATTTCATAAATTATGTGCATCTCCATATGCATTAGTCTATAAAATCCTTGCTCTCATTGATTCACTAGATAACTATTTATTGAGCATCCACCAAAAAGTGAAGAAAGCTAAGTTTGGGTTGTTCGTTCACTAATTAAACCAGCATCTGTAGAACTTTTACTAGCTGCTGGTAACTCCTCCTCAAGCTGGAGTTTGAGGTGAAGAAGACATAGTCCCAAGGAGCCCTCAGCTTATTCCGAATGTTAGTACCAAAAAGACTAACATCTTAGTCTTTTGGAATGTAATAGGTTCCCACTACATTCTGTCCTACTTCCTCTTTCCTTGCCTTTGTCTGGAGTCAGTCTCCAAAGTAACTATCAGCACTATCCCACTCAAATTATTGGCAAAGATGATATAATGTTTCAGATTCACTTTAAAATATTCTAGAAAAAATTGGGGGCTAAGTGAAACAAGATTGATTTGATAACATCTTGGTAACTGTCAATGTTAGCATGTGTGCATGTGAGGTAGGGAAATTTCACCAGTCTCTCTACATGTTTGTGTTTGAAAATGTACATAATGCAAAGTCTTAAAAAAAAGACTCAAATACCATGCCTATCTCATATACTCTATGTATTTCATTTGAAATTAAAATGATGATAATCATAATGAGGCCTAACATTTAATGAGCAAGTCCTTGTGTGAGCAGAGCTCCTTATCAAGCATTCTGCATGAATTATCTCATCTAATCAGGAAGTATCATTAACTTCATTTGGCAAATAAGGAAACTGAGGCATAAAGAGTTTAGGTAAAATGCCAAAAATCACACAGCTAGTAAGTATCCAGGGTGAGATTGAAACCTAGGTTATTCAGTGCAAAAAATAAAGTAACGAAACAAATTTTTTCTTTGTTTCTTTCTTTCTTTTCGGTTTTTGGGATTTTTTTTTTTAACCTGAAAGAAACAAGGACTTAGGTAGAAAAGTCTCAATGTGCTGCCTTTACCGCATGATTACTGTTTAGCCCTTTATATTTGTGAAGTGCCTGTGTTCCTTTAATACTAATTATAGAGTGTGCGGCACTGTAATGAATAGAGGAGCCCTCAAAGCTGCCTGTTGAAATCATAATTGAAACCAGTGGTGGCTCCAAGTTGAACAGCAGGGTGGGTACACACAAGTGCTTCACCACCCACAGGCTGTGCAAAGTTCAGCGGTTTCTGCAGGCAACGGAGCCGCACATGCACCTGACAAGCTCAGACTGCCCAGATCATGGATTCCAAAAGAAAACATTACAGCTCCAGAGCCATGATGGCCAGGCCCCAGGGAACAGACTCCCAGGTAGACCTACCATTATAACATCTAAAACTTTATTCTCGAGCCAGTCCCATCAAATACAATGCAGAAGAATGAATGATCCCACTGCAGTCTAAAAGCACCCAGTCTCCGCATATGTTTGCTGCTTTTGTCCTTCAAAAGTAAAATAATGTTATTGCCATTATTTTATTTTGTACTGTGCAAACTATTTCATTATTCCAAATATTTGGGTTTCAAAACCTCTGACTTCACTATCACTTTTTTCCTTGGCAAAATGACCACTATCAGATCTTGTTTTGATTTGGAACATTAAAAAAATCAAATATAGGCTGGGTGCAGTGGCTTATGCCTGTAATCCAGAACTTTGGGAGGCCAAGGTGGGAGGATCACAAAGTCAAGAGATAGAGACCATCCTGGTCAACATGGTGAAACCCCAGCTCTACTAAAAATACCAAAATTAGCTGGGCGTGGTGGCATGCACCCTGTAGTCCCAGCTACTCAGGAGGCTGAGGCAGGAAAATTGCTTGAACCCAGGAGGCAGAGGTTGTGGTGAACCGAGATCACACCACCACACTCCAGTCTGGGCAACAAGAGAGAAACTCCGTCTCAAAAAAAAATAAAATAAAATACACAATTTCAGTCCTTGACATTGTCTGCTTAAACAAAAAAGTTGGGGGCAGGGGGGTTCCTCTATGGGCCAGCAGCAGAAACTCTCCAAGAAACAGGAGCTGTGTAAGGGAGGCTTTCCACTTTTCTCCAGAAATGTTTACTCTCAATCTGACTTTTAAGAAAATATATTGCTTTATTGAATTAAATGAGATAATATATATACAGAATACTTGACACAATTCTTGGCCTATAGCAAGTTCCCACTACAGTCTATCCTACTTCCTCTTTCCTTGCCTTCTTCTGGAGCCAGTCTCCACAGTAACTATCAGCACTGCCCCACCCACTGAGGAAGACGAAGTAGACCCAGGATGCCCAGCCTTGCTCTGATCCTATTTTGCTGTCTTCACTTCCTCCACTTTCACCAAGTAGTCCAGAGCCTCATGTGTAGCCAACACTTTACAAACAAGGACGGCTAAGGTGAATATCATCAGCAAAATCACAAGCCTTAGAGGTTTGTGATTACAACACAAATACCTCTGTGGAAGTAGAGGCCAACAACGCTTGGGCACCTTAGCAGTGAATACTGGGAAATGAGAAAGCCCTTGGGGAAGGCAGAGATCACCTCGAGAGAGAAAGCTAAAACCAGACTTTACCTATTTCACATTTTTGTCTCTGGCCCCATTGACTTGGATGTTCTACACATCTTCCTATAATAAACATCTATAAGGAAACCACTTTAGAAAGTTGAACTGCTCATGGTTTCAACATCTATTGAAAAATGCATTCTGAAATAGAGCAAAAACAGGAGACATGTCTCTAAATATAAATATATATATATATATATATATATATATGCATACAGAGAGAAAAATATATATTTATAATCAGGATGAGTTCCATGCCATAATTAGCTAAATATCTGGCTTATTTCACTTGGCAAATATAAGCTTTTAGCATCTAAAAATTCCATTTTAGAAGACAAGCCTATTCACTTTACTACTGAATATCCAGTAATAGGATAATTGGAATGCTGTAAGCTCTGAACGCAAACTGAAGCAACGAAATACAATACTTGATGGGGCACTGTGCTCTGCAGCAACTCAGAAGAGCTTTGAAATGCTGTCTTGGTTTTCAACAGCTATGCAATAACTCAAAAAGGTGTTATTATTCCCTTTCTTCAGAGAGAGACAATCTGCAATGGAATTCACCAACAGGTTCAAAGTCAACTAATAAGTGAACAGCAGGTAGAAAGAGACACCAGGCTGTTTTAAAAGCCATCACTTAAACCACCAGATTAAATGTGCAGGGGGGGAAATCATTCATTATCAAAGTCAGGATTTGTTCCCACAAAATCTGTTTAAAGAATTTCAAACATGTCTAACCAAAAACCGCATAGTTGAATATGGAATTAGGAAAATTCCATTTGCCAACCCAGTGTGACACTTTGCTATGTCACAGACACCTCTGACTCAGGATGCCCAGAAGAAAGCAAGCCCTCTTCTCTGCCATCACTATGGCCAAAACTATCCTTCTGGCAACTGTTTTAAACTCAATAAATGGGACTGCACATTTTAGACCAAACTCAAAAAGCAAAAGTCATTTTAAGATTCTAGCCTATTTCTTACTCCCAATAATCCAAACACTCATCAAGTTCTATTAATTCTACATTCCAAATATTGTTTAATTGTCCCTTCACTTCATTGTAGCAGATACGATGCTCTGTCCACATCCCCACTGCTGACCTCTGGGTCTACCTCTGCTGCAGTGGACAGTTCCGGTTGCACTATGGCAGTTTCCATCTCAAGCACCCATCTCTGCTGCTGCAGACTTGAAGGTTGTTCAGCCTCTGCACAAAGCAGTCTGGAAGTACTGAGACCTGCAGAAGCAACCCTCAACCAATGAGGGATAGGAGTTGGTGGTTAAATATCCCAGCTTTCCCGTCTCTCAAAGGACTCACTCTGAGCTGTGATTTGTAGAGTTCCCACGAGTATCTCTAGGGAACATAAGCCCCAGTTGCCCACGGCAGCAGCCCACCCAGTAACACCTCATTTCCTGGCTTCCCTGCCTTTCCCTGCTCACTTTCCTTACTGCCTCGCTTGTGCTTCCTGGGATCACTTCTCAGATAAGCCACCTGCACTCAAGTCCTTGTTTCAGGGCCTGGGTTCAGGACAGTCCAAGTTAGGATGGCTGCATAACAAGAATAAGGGCTTTTTTTTTTTTAAGAGAATACGGTGTTCCGGGCACTTCACCAAGCATTTTATGCGTATTATCTCATCTTTACACTCCCAATTGTACATTAAACCATCTTATATATGGGAAAAACAAAGCTTAGAGAGGTAAATTGCCACAGGCCACACAGCTAATATTAGACGGAATTGGAATTAAAATCAAGGTCTGTCTGAAACAGACTAAATCATACCACTGTATTCAAGTTTCACTGCTGCTTTTCTGGGTTCCAGCACAAATCTCCTGTCTGCTCTGTGTCCACTGCCTGTCCCCCTCCACTCCATCTTCCACACTGCTGCCATAGAGATCTTTCTCTAAATGTCGGATCCTGTCACTCATGATTTCACATCACCTTTAGGTTAAAGTCCAAGTTCTCCCTCTGTGCCCTGCCTCCCTCCTCAGACTCAATCCCACCGCTGCCTTCTCTCCCATGCCTCACACGCCTGATGCTTCAGCCAGAAGAATTACTTCGTTTCACCTCTCATTTCTGATCCTTCCTCCCGGAGCAGCATTCTACTTCCTCTCCCACTCTCCCCACCCACACCTTCTCTTCTCTGACCCATTCCTCTTATCCTTCAAGACTATTTTAGATTCACTTTACCTCGTGATCCACCCGCGTGCCTGTAGTCCCAGCTACTCAGGAGGCTGAGGCAGGAGAACTGCCTGAGCCCAGGAGGCGGAGGTTGCCGTGAGCCAAGATCGTGCCATTGCACTCCAGCCTGGGTAACAAGAGCGAAACTCCGTCTCAAAAAAAAAAAAAAAAAAGATTCACTTTACTAGGAAAGACTTCTATGCCCTGCCTTTCCCAACCCCCTCTCCCCACTCAACAACCAGGCAGGCCCTGACCCTCTGTGCAGCTTCAGCACAGAGCAAACTGAAGACAACAGTTGCTTCGCTTGTCTATCTTCCCTACTGGCTCATGAAGTCAAGGACCGTCTGTGTCATTCAATTGAATATCCCCAGCACCAGGTACCCTGGCTGGTACATAATCAGGATTCCATTTTTAAAAGCGCTTGTTGAATGGAATGATTCCCTGAGCCAAGCACAAAAGGTCATGGTTGTATACCATAGCCAAGAGACTACATCCTCTAGTCGCCTTATCTCCCCACAGGGGTTCTGAGCTAAACAAGCCTCCAAATCAGACGCAACAAATCGACTCAGCAACTCGTCCACCCCAGCTAGTCTAGTGACTGGAGTGTTGGGAGGATGCAGGAGCAACATTGGCCCTGGCCAAGTCCAAGTCACCTTACCCACAGAAGGTTGAGCCTTCCCCTTTTCCTGCCCTAATGCAGCAGGATCTTTTTAGACCCAACTTAAGAGAGGCCCAGAAGTTTCTGGGGTGTCTCATGTATCTAGAGATTGATATAATCTAGTCCATCTGGGTACCTAAACCCACGTGGCAAGAATAACAGAGATAATTGTCAAATTTCTACTTTGTTCTATGCAAACACAGCAAACCCTAAAGTTGATGAAAACATCAGATTGTTTTCTTTGTTAAGTGTTATTTTTTTGTTATTTTATTTGGCCAAATTTTTCTTCCTATCAATTCTAGGAGAATAGCAGTAGAGGGGTGAGGATTTGCTTCTAATGAATGTCACTAGATCATCAAAGAAAGTGCTGGGCTATGAGGATGGGGGTAGAATCTCATTTTTATTCAGCAACTGACTTTCAGCCACCATTTAACCTCCTTGTGATTCACTCTGCTTATCAGCCCAAAGTCCTTAATCACCACCCTCACTGAAGGTTGGAG